TGAAATATGAATGAATACTGCTTTACTGTGGTAAAAGTGAAATGGTTGATTCTTATAGGAGGGAAACATTAGAGATTGATAGATACCTCTAGGCAATTTTACTTTCAAGTGGAGATGTATAGTAGCATTTGGAAAAAAAAAAAGGTATATTATAGCTATGAAAACATTTCTACACTATAATCTGTGAAAAACACTGTAAACGCAATATGTAGGCCTCCTGTCTGATTGCATCCTGAAAATATGAAGAAGAATCCATTTATACATTCATTATTAATATATACCCGCAGGTTCTGTAATTCTTTTCTGGTAAAGAACCAGATATGTTACAGGAAAAATAATTTTTTTTTCCTTATAAAATCTTCTTAGGTGAATTTTGCAAGTAAAAAAACCTGATTGCAAATGAAGTTACACATTAAAATACAAGACTTCTTATGAAGATAATACAATAAATTTTAATTCTGGTCCAAACACGGCTAGCTAAGTGTGACATCTACTTAACTTCCTTTCTCATTGTTGTGGTTTAACCTCAGTCAGCAACTGAGTACCACACAGCCACTCGCTCGCTCCTCCCCCCCCGGCCGGTGGGATGGGGGAGAGAATTGGAAGTGAGAAAAACTCGTGGGTTGAGATAAAAGCAGTTTAATAATTGAAATAAAATAATAATAGCAATAATAAAATGTAATAATAATAATATGCAAAGCAAGTGATGCACAGTGCAATTGCTCACCACCCGCTGACCGATGCCCAGCCAGTCCCCGAGCAGCAGCCCCCCCCCGGCCGGTTTTCCCAAGTTTATCCTGGCTGTGCCCCCTCCCAGCTTCTTGTGCACCTCCAGCCTTCTCAGTCGGTAGAGCATGGGAAGCTGAAAAGTCCTTGACTAGTGTAAGCACTACCTAGCAACAACTAAAACATCAGCATGTTATCAACATTGTTCTGGTCCTAAATCCAAAACACAGCACTGTACCAGCTACTAGGAAGGAAATTAACACTATCCCTGCCAAAATCAGGGCACTCATGGAGCAGGCGAGAAAGAAGAAAGTACTCTTTTCTTGTTAGAAGAAATAACCTTTATTAATTCTGACTTTGTGTTTTGCAAAACTGATTTGCCCTACTTTATTCACTGGAAGTCAGCACAAGTATGCACCTTTCTGTCCTTCCAGGCTTTTTCCAGCATTTGCCATGGTCAGTTGTCAACGTTGCAATTAAGGACTTTTTTGTACTGGGTGTCCTCAGTGCTGCCCATTTCAGGAAGTGATTTACCTATCTTTCAGGCATAACTTCATATATTTAGTCTTGTATAATTCCTGTACATTTGTTAAAATCTGACAGAATTAATGTGTTAGTATAAAAGAAAAGCAAAAATACTCATTTTGGGTTCATACCTAAACTATCTCCACTTTATTTTCCCTGCCTCATTTCTATTTTCTTGTTCTTGCTAAATGACTAAAGAATCTTTGTTTTACTCTGTTTCAGTTTTGACAGTTCTTCCTGTACTTCTTGAAATCTAAAATATCCTTCCTTGCTGGTCAATCCTTTTACCCCATTTTGTAGGCTTCTTACTCCTCCTATTGTTCTTGAAGCAACAATTCATCCAACCCTCTCATAAAATTCTTTCCCCTTACCTGTGATAATGGAGTTGTTATTGTTCTAGCGCCTTTGACTGCAATGTATTCTTGTTTTCTTCTGCACTGTGTGAAGAGTAGAAATTATCCTGGAAAAAAGGGCCAGATTTGGGAATTCCCAAATATTCTTCTACTGCATCTTGCATTCCTACTGCAGAATGTAAGAGTGGGATAAGACAGCCCTTTTTTAGCTGAGCATACAATCTAAGGGTAAAAGTTTATTCCTGGATGGTGGGAGATATTGTTTTAACCTCATTAGTCTCAGAAGGAAAAAGAACCCAAATATCTGGAAAACTGATTTAACCGGGTGGTTGTTTTATAAGTCCTAATATCATCAGCATATTAACTGCCAGTACAAATTTTTCCTAATTACAGAAAATTAGAGAAATACATTTACATACATAATATTTTTGCATATATATAATTACAGAAACAGAAAAAACAGTCTCGCGTCCACTGCCTAATTTAGTTTATTAGGACTGAATATTGGTTACAAGTTCAGTGTTGTGAGATGCAAATGAATCCCGTTGTTTTCAAACTTGACCTTCATTTGTTATGGAAAGCATATTTCTTACCATCTTAAAAACTGAATCTTTGGAACTGTTAGGAAAGATGTAGACAACAAGACAGACATCATTGTTTCAAAATTGATGGTGTGTCTGCACTTAGGTTACTCTGTCAGTTCTGGTTCTGCACTCCTCACTCCCCTTCTCCATCTTAAAAAACACAGAACTTAGAGAGGCTACACAAGACATAAGAACAATCAAAGGTATGAAACCTCTTCCATGTGAGGAACAACTAAGTACACTACGACTCTTCAGCCTGAAAAAGGTATGGATGGTGTCCTGGTTTCGGCTGGGATAGAGTTAATTTTCTTCCTAGTACCTGGTACAGTGCTGTGTTTTCGATTTAGCATGAGAATAATGTTTGGATAACACCGATGTTGTAGTTGCTGCTAAGTAGTGCTTACCCTAGTGAAGGACTTTTCAGCTTCTCATGCCCTGCCAGCGAGAAGCTGGGAACGGGCACAGCCAGGACAGCTGACCCAAACTGCCCAAAGGGATATTCCATACCATATGATGTCATGCTCAGTATATAAACTGGGGGGAGTTGGCAGGGGGGCGGCGACCGCTGCTCGGGGGCTGGCTGAGCATCGGTCAGTGGGTGGTGAGCAATTGCATTGTGCATCACTTGCTTTGTATGTCCTTTTCTGTCCTATTAAACTGTCTTTATCTCAACCCACAAATTTTACTGGTTTTTTTTCGATTCTCATCCCCATCCCACTGGGGGGGGGGAGTGACCGAATGGCTGTGTGGTGTTTACCTGCCTGCCGGGTTAAACCACAACAGACGGGAAAGATTGCAAGAGGTCTTTAAAATGGGAAGTTGCAGAGAGAAGATGAATAGAGAGTGGTTGTACACTCTCTCCTATAATATATGAATGAGAAAGCACATAATTAAGCTGGCAAGTGGTTGTTTCAAGGCAAAACGTGATGGCTTTTTATACATTATTTTATTGTAATCTTTTTGTATATTATGTTATTGTAATTTGCAATATTGCTTATAAATTATAGGAGCAATGGCTTGTTTAGTTCATTGTGCAGGTAACTGCTTGTCTACATAATTAATAGCAGCATGTAAGAAAAGATTTGTGGTCACTAGACAGTCATGGTAGCAGTATAAATAATTTTAATAATACTGCTATTAATGTATTATAATATATAAATATCTAATATGTTATGTGGCTTTATATATGTACAATATATTGTATATAATGCTATTTAATATATTACTAAATTATTAATGTACCTATTACATTGATATTACAATATATAATATCCATTCTATTTGTAATAAAATATTAATATAACAATATTGATATTATCTAAGCTGCCTGCTCACATGAGTGTTCATTTCATTGCTGTTTCTCCCATTTCAGTTTTTTAATAATTTTTCATGTGATTGATTTTTAACTAAAGCAATATACTTATGACCTATGCTTTTAAAGAAACACATTCTTCTCTAAGGAATTAGCTTACACGGATATACACTTTTTTATAACAATGAAGCCTGTAGATAGTTCTTTCCGTATTAATCATTGGTAAAGTATTTTTGTTGTTTGCTAATACTACTGATGTTTCATGGTTTGTTATACCTAGCATAGTACACTATTACAGTCTTGACTCATTGGGTTGCTTTTGAAGATTGTCAGGGAGCTTTATGTAATACAAAACATAGCTTTTTGGAGCAGACTGCACTTGTGCTGAGAGGTCCCACCGATTTTTCTTATCCTGGTGTGATTGAAAGTTTTAGTTTCTTCAGGTCTTAGGTCTGGGATCTAAATGGGATGTTTTTCATGTTGGTCAGATTGAGAGTTTCCAAGACTAGGAAAGAGAGCTTTTGTAGTTAAGGGCAAGTTAACTCAGTTTGCACAGACTTTGCAGCATAACAATACTTGACTTCAGGATTGATGAATTTTATTTGTTGTATAGATTTTTGCTTTAAAGGGCCGGGGCAGTAATGTGGTTAATAAAGACCATTATTGGTAGGTTGCATACCAGGTTAACAGAACTTTAGCCAAAGAAGTGTCATTTATAGAATTGTGGAGGAAATACCAACTGTTGTTCAGAAAGTACAAACAGTATTGTTTCTGATTGCTCTTCAGCAAATAGAGGGGCAGCCTTTGAGATGTTCCAGAGGCATCTGCCTTATGGGGCATGACTGCTCTTTATGCATGACCAACCAACTTCACCTGTGCACAAAACCCAAAACATGATACTCATTTTCTTCAGTTCTTTGCATCTTGCTACAGACTAGATTTTTTGTGTCACGGGTGTGGATATGAAATCTTGTTGTTGAGTCCAACCCTAACTCTCTGCAGAGTGGTAATTCATCTTTCAGCAGTACATACCATATGTCTAAACCAGAAATATGAAATTTGATTGTTCTATTTTTAGTTAAGTGCTACCTGCCCATATTTGTATTTGCAAAAAAAAAAAGACGTTTCTACTATGTGTTTAACTACAAAGATATAAACATTATGAGTATATATTTATATTTTTCTTAAATGTACTTTACTCCCTGAAGTGCAATAAAAGAAAATTTCATTCTGAAGGCTACATAAACTCCAAAATTGTAAATAAATATTGTTCTGCTCAATAAACTGGTAACTATTCATGGAGATTCAAATTAAGGAAACTGTGCTGTGTGGTTTCTTTTGTCTTTTTTCCTTAACAGCCTGTACTGTTGACCTGTTCAATTTACAGACACATACATACCTATAAACCTGTTTCCATACATGTAATAGGTTTTTAATGTTTGAAATGGCTGAAAGAATTGATTAATTTTTTTATGTTTTATAATGTGTTCTGTTCTTTAGAGTACTCGAGTAGCTTTAGACCATCTGGAGTCTGTTCCTGAGAAACTGAGCCTGTTAGAAGATTTCAAAGATATTGGAGTGAGAAAGATTTCATTTGACTCTTTCAGTAGTTCTAAAAAATTTTTGTTAATTAATGTCCTGTGCATATGTATAGAAAATTGGTTAATAAGATATTTAAAATTACATATGTACATATTATACAGACAAAAACACACAGAAATTTATTTTCATGTTTATACAGATTCTTTTGAGGTTATAAATTTAGTCCTAATTAGTAACACTGCTGAGGTGCTCCATAATGTAAGCAAACATTGGTAACTGGGTACAATAGATGAAGTCCTAATTACTGGTTCAGAATATTTGTAATGAGTGGTGAACTCTGATATTACTTGTTAAAAAATGAAAATTTTGTAATGAAATATATTATGCTAGTTATTTCAATATTTAAAGTAATGAGTGAAAATAGGTGAGCTTTATGGCTTTTTTTCTTTTTTTTGTTTTGACATAATGCCAATAATTGTCACTTATTTCCCCAGTATCACTATCAAATCAAGGTATGTTTGTTTGGACACAGTGGGACATATAGACAGCAGTGGTGGAATACTGTCAAGAGTGATAAGCCTCAGATTAGATCTTCAGTGGCTAAGTGGTTAAACCACTGTATTATTATTACTTTCCATACATGAAGTTGGTGGTTTACTAAAAAAGAATTTGGAACCTCATTGCACAATATTAATTTTAAATCAGTATTAAATCACAGATCAACAAATGCATAACGATTTGCTTTTTATTTGCTAAGAATTACTCATCCTGAGGTAGTCATAAACATTTCAAAACATACTTGTTTGGAACATTGTTTATTCTAAGTGTTCTTGCATGAGGTCATGTATTAATAATTGTACATTATTTTATCGCTGTCATCAACAGAGATAGGAACACAAATGCTGATTGAAATCTTTGGGTTTTTTTAAGAAAAATATTGTTGAGATGTATAGTTCTAATTTCACATTCCAGGTATCCCCAAAAGAGCTTTTTGCTCTGACAGAGGTTGACATTTGCCTTCTGTTTCCGATGGTTCCGCACTGCTAAAGGAAAAATTCTGCTCTCAGCTAGGCAAAACAGAAGCTTGAATGTGGGGTTTCTACAATCTCCTTCACACTTGCACTCTCTTGCTTAACGTTACTATGAAATGACGTTGTCATTTTCTGGTTTGCTGTAGTTATCACTTAGCCAGCATTCGTGAGACTGGAACCCGAATTCTTCGGTTTAATTTGAGCTCTGTCCTTCTCCCTGATGCTCAGTTTTTTAAAGACTGTTTTCTTAAGATGAGTCCCTACCAACAACTGTGTATTGTTTAATAAATAAATTATTATTCAAGAGAGCTAAGCTTTATACCTTAGCTGAGAATCATGTCAGTTTGGAGTTTCATTAATTCTTCTATTTGAAAATAATACATTGGATTTTTTGTACAATAGCATATTTTACTCTCAGGTGGTATGCATGAATGAAGTATTTCAAAGCCATTCATTGCTTTCCACTGCTAGCAAGTTCTTCCCTCAGTGTTTTCATAGGAAGGGAGAAGGAGAGAGAAAGTAAATTTTTGATAATGCCTCACAAGTTGTCTGGTAGTTGTATTCATTCAAGTGAATCATTAGCTAGTTCAGTGAGAAGCGTTATGTTTTCTTATTTGAAAATACTGTTTAGTCCATATCCTTAGAACACTTTTTTTCTTCAAGTGCTTGTTTCTACAGTATTGTAATGAATTTTTCACCATTACAGAATTTCTTTGTTAGAAGGTGTGATATTACTGAATTTTGGAGTTACAAGAAATCATTCACCAGTTAAGGATGAGGCTGTTTACATTTTAACCTATCTTCATTTTAACATTACTTTTCTGTACTGAACATGATGCTTTCGTATGGTCTCTGTATTTCAACCTCTGAAAGTTAGTAATTAATAATTCACATTATGAAATCATTTAGATCTTTCAATGTATTTCTAGGAGTCCCATTGCCGAAGGGAGATGATTGAGGAAAGGTATACGAAGTATAAAGAAATAGTGAGTTCTCTACAGCAACAACTGGAAGATTCAAATCAAAAAGTCCAACAATTCAAGGTATGTCTGTGTACTCCACTTCTGTTTCCTGATTACTTTCAATCAGCAACGTAAGATTATTTGATGTGTTTTAACTCCTAGTATAAACACAGACTAAAATAACACGTGAATGTTTCTGTTTTATGTAGCTGCCGTGGCTGATGTAAAATTTGATGACAGAAGTGTTGTCTTCATTGTAAAGTGCTGTGGATACTTTCCAAAAATCTTTAAAATTTCACAGAAAAATGTCTTACTGTGTCTTACTACTCTGAAGTGTTTACCTGCTTTGTCAAATTGCTTTCTACAGCAATTTTTTTATTGGTTTGTTCAATTTTCCCTTGTCCTTTCATGTTAAAGATAAATATAGAAAACTGTTTCCTCCATTAGAAGGATGATTAATTTGTAGATCATGTATAATGATTTTTCAGTAGCTGATCTTTGCATTCTTTACAGAAGATACTCTATAATGTCTGTTTCATACATAAATGAAAGCCAGGCAGACAGAGGGGAAGTGATTTGCTAAAGGTCGCTCAGCGAACTGATAGCAGGGCTAAGCATAATTTCCTAACTCCCTGCAATACAAATCCAGTGCTCCTGTTTTAGAAACATTGCCTGTAATGAGTTCACCTTTCCAATTGTTAACACGCTTTCTTTCTCTTCATATTAGCTTGTTCATTGTCATATCACTTCTCACTGAGTGCCATTGTGGTAGCAGCTTACTTCGGCAGAATTACAATTTCTTATGGACGTGGTTGAAATAAATGATCAGAACTGAAGAATCATGCTAGTATTTCTGCAACTTACCACAACCAAATCAAGATTCTTTGGCAATGAATCTTACCAGTGTCTCTAAGCAGTTGAGCTCAAAATCTAGGATCACACACCATGTATCAAAAAACTTTAAGCTGTTTGTGTTCCGAACCTCCTCCATAGCGCTCTTCCTTCTGTAAAATGAGGACTTACTTACCAGTAGGTCTTTTAAAAAGTGGAAAAGGTAAAATAAATACAGAGTATTTTAGCTTAGTAAGTTGCTGTTGTAAGAAGAAGGTATTAAGCTGCTTGAAAAAGCCATCTTGTTCTTCTGTAAGAAAGAATTGAAAGGAAGAAACAGGGCAGATTCACTTTCAGTCTGTTGCTAATTATAATCTTTGTTTCTTGAATTTCTCTTGCCTTTACACAGGAGTTACTAATTCAGTAGCCACTGAAATTTGGAAAAATTTTAAAAGCTAAGTGGAATGCAATCAGCTGATGGTAGAATATAATATTACACTAAGTTGACTGAACTGACTGAGCTCGCATGATTTGAACTCTATATTCAGAATCCAGTATAAAGCTGATTCCAAAACAATATTTCCTCTTTCTTTAGACAACAGAGAGCAATTAAGGGCTTCCATTTAGTCAGGCATAATCGGGTTTTTGCATGACATACAGTACTCTTTGCTCTAACGGCTGTTACAAATAGAACAGAATGTTCAAAAACAAGAAACAGGTGCTAATCTGATTTTAGTGATCAGGCTAGCTTAGTCTAAAAAAACCCTTTGTAATGCTTGCCTTTCTTACACTCCCTTGGAACTAACTCAAATGCATTGTTGTTTAATTTTTTTTATTTTACTATTTGTCAATTGGGAGTCTGTAAAATTGATTGGTGGAAGAGTGTAGGCTTGAGGACATCAAAGTTCATTCTTTCCGATAGTTTTGATTCATGCTCTGTACACAACGTAGTGCTTCTGCTATACAAAGTACAGATATTTGGTAGGTGATAAGAAAATGCATGTTTTAAAAAAGGGAGTTCTTGTAAAATTTTTACTTTGACCATTTTAGATAAAATTACTTGTTCAATTAATCTTTCTCCTCTGTTACGATATTCTTTCTAGCCTTCCTAGTAATACACTTCTTTCAGCTTGCTTGCCAACGTTAATCTCAGACAGGCATTATCTAATCCTGTGACCTAGCCTCTTTTCATTTTAAGGAGCAAAAATGAAACGAAAATTGAATGTTCCCCTAAAAGAAGTTATTTTTATTCCTTTCTTATGATTTCATTTGTCCCCACTCAATCCTCCTACTCTGTAGTCTCGTCAGATGGCTGTAAAATACCTGTTGCTTAGAAGCCCAGGAAAATCATAATTGCTATTTGTATGTTTTAAAATGTAACATTTCGAGTAATAAAGGAGGCCAGAGGCTGGCAGAATACCATCAAGTACAACAATCGTGATTTTTCAACTAAGAAAGGCTGAGTGATAGTAGATAAAGAAGAAATTGGGGGGGAAAGAAAGTAAATATAATGTATAAAAATAAAATAAATAATAGAGAATACCAACTGAAGCAAAATCAAAAGAGAAAGCTAGAGGAAAACTAAAGATAACTGTTATGATTGATAGATGCCAATATTTTAGGACAGTTTCCCTGCCATGAACAACCGACCATCTAGTCAAACACAGCATACAGATGTAATTGTAAATGAAGCACGTGAGAAAAGGCACATTCTGTAAGTTAAAACTTCTGTAAAGAGAAAGTCATTTTGTATTGCAGATGCTGGTAGAAGCACCTTGCTTGTTTAAAAGCTCTGTTCTAAGATAGCATTTCTGGAAGCAGAATGAAAAGACAAAAACTTTTTTTTATTCTTTAAAAGTTGGTGTTGTGCTATGTATATATTAAGTCTCTCATCGGCACATGAGGGGATTAATATGTATAATTCCTATTAGCCTTAATAGAAGTAAATCCCTCTTCAGTGATGGGACAAAAGCTTATTGTATCTCTAAATTAATGTTGCATTTTATTTTGTTTTCTGTTTAGTTTTCAAATCTTAGCATCAGCATGAATGATAAATTGTAAGATGTTTTAACAAAATTCCCTGAGGCTGTTTATGATAAGAATTCAGTAGCAAAATTGAGTGTTTTATGAACTGATGCATTTGTGCATTATTATCTCTTCTCATTTCAAGAAACTGAGTAATTTGGGTACCAAGCCAAGCTTTTAATCTTATTTTGGAAGGTATTGCAACTGGGGACTACTTGCTGCAATGCTAAGAAAGATTTACGGAGATTTTTGTTTAAATGGCCTTTTTAAAATGATCTTCTTTTTTTAGCTTATAGACCAAATGACTTTACTCAGCAAAAAGCTATGCTGTATGGGTCTAACCATAAATAGTAACGTTGTGCCTCAGACTTTATTAAATGGTTTAAAAAAAAAATGGAAAAGCAACTTCAGGTATTTTGATATGAGAAATCAATGAGTTTGAGTTTCCTCAGTGGCAGGGAAAATGGATTTAATTTTTATTATTACTTACTTGTGGAACTCCAGTGAATTAATGTGGAACATTCATTGATGAGGAATTCATCATTCACTGATGTCTGCCCTGCCACTATGCTTTGTCCTGAACTGTGGATGTGATGTAAACAAGAAAGAGAACATTTTTACAACTTACTGTAGTGACAAAAACTTGCAGTGCTCCCAGTGCTTTTCTCAAGGCAAAGCAGTTTTTTGCAGAGGTTTTATAGTGATGAAATGGGCATGAAATTCATAAGCAAGTTAATTTGAACCTAGCTGCAATACTGAGAATTCTGAGAATTCATATCATTATTTTCCAGCATGTGTGAAATCACAGCATATACCTGTATGTGTGCTACTGTATGTTTTTTGTTAAAGTTTACAGCTGCTTGATATTAACAGATAAAAATTATTTTTATTTGGCCGCCATAGGATGTGAAAATGGATGCTGAAATTTCTGATATAGAAGTGGCTGCTCCCACTTCTAGTTGGCAAACTCAAAACAGCTTTTTGTCCAGCTCACCGCTCTCAGATTCAGGTTGTAAGTATTGTTTCACAGAAAAAATCTACAAGTAATGCATTTTACTCTTTTAAAGCTGTTTTACTTGAGAGAGTAAGACACTCTACTTTTCGACAAAAAAATGCTAGAACCGTCTAGCAGTCTTCCTGTGTTTTAGCTTGGATGGATGCCTTTGTCTAGGAAGTACTTCATTACATCTCACTGATAGTTGTGTGTTTCTTTTTAACTGGGACATACAATATATTTTGTTTGTCATCCAAACCTATGCCAAAAAAAGGGCTGCACTTGGATTCTGAATCTCTGCATGAAGAATCATACCTGTGTAAGCTGCGTTATCTTTTCAGGGACCAGAGAGACATCCTCAGCCAAGGATCCTTTCCCAGATCTTTCATTTGTACCAGTTAGTCTCATGCTTGTGTAGCAGTTTAACAGTGAAAGTTGAATTCACTAGTTCTGCTTCTACTTCAATAGTTGTTTTTAACTATTTTTTCTATCCCCTAGTGCATATACAACTTGTGGTCATGCAAGGTCATGGGATCTGTGATACAGCTCAGAACTGCTGAGCAAAAGATAGGACATATTAGATCTTTATCTGGTACAGGCACACCTTTGCGTGAATGTCAAAACTAACAAAAAAAAAAAGTTTTTTAAGGTTTTTTTTGAGCATATCAGCACATGGATATCAGAATACTTTTCTTTAGAAGGATATCACCTTCCATTTCTTTTCAATATAGCCAGTTTGTGTACTGGGAATCCATTCAGTAAGTTGCATTGTGTAATGGAAAGTCCTATTTCAGGCTTCATTGTGCTTTCAAACCTTTGCATCTTAGTGTGAGTGCTGCAGTACATTACTGCTCACCAGTAAGTCCTGAGTCGATCTGATGAGGTTAAAAAGAATTGGTTTCTTTTCCTTTCAGAATCTGTGGATTGCGATTAATACCTTTTTGCAGAGCATACTGAATAATAATAGTGGAAATAAAGCGTAAAAGCAAATGCCTCCATCTCATCTATACTTCAGGAACAGTTTCCCCTGACTCAGAGTTGTTTTTCCATTTTCCCTAACCTCATCCCTGTCAAAGCCTTGCAAGTCAAAGTACAGCTCAGCCTCATTGGGTTGTAGAAAAGAAAGAACCCATACCTTGCAGGCATGTTGGACTAGATGACCTCCAGCAGTCCCTTCCAATCTCAACAACTCTGTGATTCCACTGCAAAAACCTGCTGAAATGTAAAGATGCAGCATAAATGTTCCTAAAATATTGTATTATCTTTATATTGCTTAACCTGAATGGAACTTGCTAGAACTTTGTTACTTTAGTACTTTTTAATCGCTTTTAGGCAGTTGTCTGAGAAATAGAATCCATGTTATCTGAATACCAATCTGATGAACCAGTTCTGGGTATTTATTCTCTGATTCAACTGGTTTTTACCAGCGCTAAGCTTTCTGGAGGTAAAAAAATAAGTGATGAATGAAAGACAGTAGTGATTCAATGTTGATCATTATGAAATATTTGCAAAGTCTTCAGCATGTGAGGAGGGCTCTTTTTGAAACCATGTTCAGGCATGGCTGCGGGACTTTTTTTTTTCTTGCTTAAAACTTTTAGGGAGGTATTTTCCACATCATAAATTAAGCTGATCTTCATATTTCATATTTTCCAAATCCCAGAATGGTGCTGAGAGTGTTTTTAGTTTTGTTCTTTTGCCCAGATGGTAAAGAGCTATTTAAAAAAAAATTTTTTTTTTTTTAAAAAGCAAACAAGTAAGAAAACAGTGAA